CTCATCACCATGTAAAAGGCAGGGGTATGCTGCCCTACAGGCCACATCCTTGCTTTCCATTGCCACTTGATGGTTTTTTGTTCACCCCTAAGTGCTGGGCACAGATAATACAAATTACTCTAGAATAAGTCAACAGAAGCCAAAGTTTTTACTGAGATTTTCAAAGCCTTATAGGCAAGGGCCTCACTATGTGGTTCAAGCTGCCCTTGAACTGACTATGTAGCTCAGACTGGTCTTGAACTTGGAGCAACTATCCTCAGCCTCCCAAGTGCTAGGATTACAAGTATGTGCCACCATACCTGGCTCTACTTGGTTATCTTATTTATTGTCTTTTCTTCCAAACTGGAATACGAAGCACCATAAAGATGGGGACATTTATCAGTTTTCTTCACTGCTATAACTTAGAGCCTAGCCCAGTGGTGGCAAACCTATGGCACATGTGTTATTATGTTTTTCTTTTAAGATGAAAGATGTTAATATATGAGGTTTTTTTCTCAACCAAAACCTCATTATTCAGGTTTAATTGCAGTGTTGGCACTTTGTGATAAATAAGTGGGTTTTGGGTTGCAGTTTGGGCACTCATCTCTAGAAGTTTCACCATCGCTGACCTAGGGAACTCTAGTGCATAGTAAATAATTGTTCAATGACTAAGTGAAAGAATAAATAAACCATAGTCCCCTCTTCAGCTGTAAAATACTTAAACTGAAGGGGTTCAAACAATTAAGTATCTAGAAGGAGCATATGAAGAGAAGACTAATGGAATAATTGACCTTTTAATGGTATGGAGGGAAACATACCTATTGAACTTGGTGTTTAAGAAGGCAAGAAGAAAGACTTGATAGGGAATGAGAATGGAGGGCCGGAGATTTAGCTCAGTGGTTTCGCCGCCTGCTGTGTAAGCGCAAGGACCTGAGATCGATCCCCAGTACCAAAAAAAAAAAAAAAAAAAAATGAGAATGGAATTCCAAGTGAAGGATATTGCACACTGAACAAAAATTCAGACAATACAAAATTTATTCATTCATGGGATATAGCCATGAACAAGCCCAAGCCTGAAAAAAAAAGACCCTGCCCCTAGAAAGCTTACATTCTAGTAGTCATAATGTCAGGCATTCTGATGTTGGACACCAATAGAACAAGCAGCAGGAAGCTACCATAGGTTCTTGATTAGGAAGAGCCGCAATTATAGAAGATCCTGCAGCTAGAAAGGGGTGTTACGGAAGATCAGATATGAAGTATAGGTGATGGGAACAGGTGGGGAGTGGATATCAATGTACATAGAAAGAAGTAGGTCTAGGGACCTGGGATAAAGCAATGAGAAAGGACCTTAAGTCCCTGAATATGAGAACAACCTAGATATGTGTCCTCTGGTGGAACTGAAGGAAGGTGGCAGAGATTGTAGGAAAACTTTGACTCTGAGAGTTGGGCAAATGGCGAGTTCAAATTGGGACCAGTCCAACTGAGCTTCAGGACTTGTTCCATTGCTAAACTATATAAACGGAGGAAGGACCATGGCACTCCTCTGATGTTTCTTCACCAGCACTTGTTCGCACTCGCTGTTTTGTTCTCTATATGGCAAGCTAAGACTAGTCCTGATATGGCCCATCAGAAATTGGAACAAATTTGAATCTAGTCATTTGCACTGGATCTACAAAACAAAATTTTTGTTGCTTTTGCCTGAAGTTACTCACCTCTGTCAATACCCCAAAGATGTCTATTAATGGATTAATGTTTCATGTTACTACAGTTTTGGTGTCATGAAGTAGAAATGATGGAATTTTTCTGTACAGCAGGATTTTTACTAAGGACACAATAAAATAATTTTAATTTTTACTTTAAAAAGATTTTAACCACACATCCTGATAGCTGTTTCTCTAAGGTTTAAAAAGACGAGTGTTTTGTGTGTGTGTGTGTGTGTGTGTGTGTGTACGTATCACGCACCTGTGCTTCTGACATACCTAATTTACTTGAAATCAGTCTGTGTTTTCCTAAAGCTTGAATTTCTTTCAGTTTTGTCTGTCAGGTTATTACCTGACTCTCTCACTTGTCACGGAAGAAAAATGGAAAGAGATGGCAGATTTGAATTCTCTAGTATAGTGAGCCAAATCAAAAGGGAAAATGAGGCCAGGGATTTACCTCAGTGGCACGACGCCTGCAAAGTCCTGAGTTCGATCCCCGGTACCCCCCCAAAAAAGGGAAAATGACCCCACACGTTGCCATTGGATATTTTTGGTCAAATTGTTTCTTAAATTGGGTTTTTTTTGAGGTACCATTTTACATTGTATGATAGAAACCATGTTTCTGTTACCTGTGAATCAAATGAGCATTTTAGGGGAAAGACTGTCAATGTGAATTTTCCATAATAGAAGTTTATTGCAGTAGTTACAGGATCTTAAAGACCTCTGAGGAGTCTAATAGGTGGCAGTAATCTAAGTGGTTCCTCTTTTTGTGTGTCTGCAATGCTGTAGATCAAACCCAGGACTCCTGCATGCTAGGCAAGCACTCTACCACTGAGCTACACCCCTAGCTTAGTGGTTTCCTTTGTATGAACTTGTCTTGAATATGCCAGCCTGGACCTCCACATCTAGCACCACTTCCTGAGAAGAGTCTGGCTTCCTCTATAAAAGCAGGGCTTTTGAAAACTGCCTACCATATAGTCCATGAAAGACATAGTATTTTAGTTACTTCTCTCTGTGTGATCTAGTTGGTTACATGAAAAACAAATTTAGCCTTTTTTTGTAATAAAGATTGTAAAAATTGTGTATAGAATTTCCTAAACTTCTCTTTCATAACTTCATTTGTCATATCTTTAATAAGAATATGATGAAATGTGGGTTCAACTGTTCCATAATAAAAAAGAAGTTAGCAAGTATTCTCATTAGGAAAAGGAAGTAAAAGTAACAATTACAGTCATGTTATGTTGACTCTCATCACAGAGCTTTTGCAGTTTTCTGTTCCTTTGTCCTGGGATGTTCTTAATCCTTTTTATAGCTATTTTCCTGTTACTTGGGTCTCAGCTCAAATCTTACATTCTCAGAGATGTTTTCTTGACCCTTGATCTACTATCTCTTCCCCATCCCACCTTTGCTGCATCACTTTATCACATTCCTTGGTTTTAATTTCTTCTTAGCACATATCATGACCTGAAATCACTTACTTACATGCTTCTTATCTGGTTTATCTGTATTTTAACTAGATTGTATACTTCAAAGAGCAGGGATCTTATCAGTCCTTCTTACTGTAATAATTTGGATGCTAAGAATAATGCAATGCCTATGTATACATGGAAGGAAAATGAGATAACAAACTAGTCATTTATGAAAGTAAAAGAGCTAAATAAATAGATCTTAAAAATGTTCATCCAGAACACATGCTTGTAGGAGATGTGTTTGTCAACATCAGAACTTTGGTAACCAAGATGGGGGATATTTAGGGTTTTTTTTTTCCAGATTGCATAGCGCTAGCATCAAAGAAGACATTTTTGCTACACTCATTGTATCTGAATGTTTTGGCTTCAAGTGATTAAAATCCTGGTTCAAAGCATAAGTTTTATGGGAGAATAGGCTCAGAGTTGGTTGACTTAGCAGCTCAAAGTGCCAGCAAAGATTCAGGTTCTCTCCATCTGTATCACTAGATACCATCCTGTCCAAGTAGGACAATGAGAAAAAGAGAATGTTTCTTTTTTTCCCCTAGTCTTGACCTCAGCAGACTTCCTCCAGGTTCTCACAGGCCATAATTAGGTAGGTACCCATTGTGGAACCAGTTTCTAGTGAGGGAATGAGATTACATAGACTGATCAGGACCACGCTTGAGTTGGGAGAAAGGAAAGTATCTGAACAAAATGGAGGCTGTTTTGTGAAGCAAGAAGAAGGTGAAAATACTGTCTGTATATCTCATCTACTGTTCCTTGTTTGTAAGCAGTAGATAATGGTGTTGGTAAAACTTTTTATTCTAAGTTTTGCAGTGTTTGATGTATAAAGATTGGTTCAAGATTCTGTGGATTGTTGAAGTCTGGAGACATGCAGTTATAGACCTTTGGATAAAGTCCAAGATTCTGCTCAAGAGCATGAAGAGGAATTCCCATTTCAGAGCCTAGCTAGCTGCTTCTTACCAAGATGGAGAGAGAAAGAAAAGACCTAGATTACTCTTTTAGCTTTCTTGGTTCCACTTCTGTCCTTAAATAAGTGTAAATTATTCTGAAACTCAAGTCTCAAGCCACATGCTGCTTTTTACATTATTCTATTCTTCTTTCCCAAAACAATTTAAGAAATTTGAGGATAATTTGGGAAGTTGAGTGAGGAAGAAGTTGACTTGTCAGAATGGAGGGAGTGGTGCAATCATTCCATTTTCTGTTCACTTCTTCTATGATCTGTTTAAATCCAATTGAAGTAACTTTCATGCACTTCTTCTATTGGAGTTTTTTTAATGTCCCTTGACAAGGTGAAAATAAGAACAAGATAATGTGAGTGATAGTCTAAAATATTTAAAACTCCTCAGCCTCTAGGCTATTACCAATTGTGTATCATATAAAGGTGGTTGAAATATAAAGGATATGTTAAACCAGGAAATGTCACAGAGTGGTGGGATTTGATGTTTTATTTGTATATACTTAGTACTTTTTAATAAACATTTTGTGATAAATTTTTTAAATGAGGTCTAATTTTGTTATTTTTGTTTTTGTTTTAGTGTAATTTGATGTACACGTTATCTGTTAAACTACCAATTTGAGATTCTTTCTTCTGATCATTCCAAATCTGATCGGTGACCTAGTTTTGTCTATTTTCCTTTCTATAACCAATAATCTGGCTCTCATCACAGTATAGACAGAGATCCATTTGTTCTTGAATTATTTCCCAGTCATTTGAAAGTGCTTTATGGAAAAAGACATGCTTTAAAAAAAATGTCTAGTTTCTCCAGCAATCACGAGACCAGACAGAAAGGTGAGGAAAATCATTGTTTGTTGGTTTCTTGTTAATTTTTTCTCTGATGCTTGGTTTTAGATTCCAGTGTGAAAAGATTTTGCTCCCAAAATATCCTGGCAATCCTTGGTTTCTCCTGTATCATTGCTGTGATAGCTTTGATTGCTGTGGGGCTGACCCAGAACAAACCATTGCCCGAAAATTTTAAGGCAAGTGAAATCGTGTGTGTCTGTGTGTGTATATGTATGTAAAAGAAGGGCCTGGATGAGGTGAGAAAGGAAGGACTCAGGTAAATTATACAGGAGGAATTGAGATTCTAGAAGCCCAGGAACAAGTCAATATCCATTAGAATAAAATGGAAACAGATGCTCTTTATAGAAGAAGAAATTCCTTGAATTAATTAGTGGTGGTAAGATAATTGTCTTCATGATTATTCAGTAAATTTAAGTCAACACTCTGTTAAATAGAGATAATGCTGTATTTACCTTGTCCAGACCTTTTTTAGACTATGCTGATATTCTATGATCTAGTACTATCTTCACTTCTTACTCATTGTTTCATCGAGAAGCCACGACACTGCATTCTTTTTAAATCTATTATTATCACTGTCAGCAAATCAATAACATGTATTAAATATCTCTGCATAAAGCACTTAAAAGTCAGAGATTGTGCAAAAGACATGTTTCTTTTCTCCAAAAAATATTAAAGCAGCAAAATAGGTTAAAAAATCAGAGAACATATACATATACCAAGTATGAATTTGAAATGAATTCTTTCTTGGATGCACAGATTTCTTGTTAAATTTCTACATTTGAAGAACTAGTTAATATATAAAAGTCATTAAGATCATTAACTTTTTGTGACATATTCTGCTTTCTTTCCAGTTCATCCAAGTAAAGTTTCAGACATGAATATATCCCAAGTTTTTTGTAATATGGACATTATTTTTATGTAATTTGTTAACTTAAAAGCATACAGTAAATTTATAGTTACTTTGTAACATTCCACTGAAATGATGGTAAACAAATCTGTATGTGCACAGAGGATATGAATATGCTATTGAGCACATCTGTACATGTGGACAGTGACATATCTAAAAGTTAACTTGACCATGGAGGTCCTAGAATGCACATATAGAAATATATTCTCTTTTATTTGTTTTTGTTTTGTTTTTTTGGTACCAGGGATTGAACTCAGGAACTTGCATTTGTGAGGCAGGCAGCTGCACCACTGAGCTAAATCCCCGGCCCTATTCTCTTTTATTTGAAGACGATGAACAGTAAGCCTGGAAAGATGGATGCACATGCCAGGCCCATAAATCTTTTGCCATGCATCCAAATCATTTTTTGTATAGCAAAGGCATGGTATTATATTGGCATCTTTTTGTTATACAAGTTCAACCCAGTAGGCCTATGTACAGCAGCTACTTTGTCAGGACAGAAAGATGATGCCATCTAATCAGTGGTCTCTTGCCTTTTAATCTTGAGTGATATTGGTTCTTTTGGCAAAACTTCACTCACAGTTGAAGTCTCATGACATCTTGGTTTTGCTATTTGTTTACTAGCTCCAAAAGTACATGACTGCCTTCTTGATTTGACCTTTTTGAATATTCCGTATTGCATCACTGGAGAGCAGGACTGCCTAGGGGGAAAAAATCCATGGCAGACTTAAGCTCTTGTTCCCAATGAATACTTGTGGTCATGGATGACTTCCTTCATTCATAGTGGTCTTCAAGTCTGTCATGCTCCTATGTTGTTATGTTGGCCTAGAAAAATGGAACAAGGTCTTTGCCATTCTTTAAATACAAGGCATGTATAATGGAAAAGCAGTCATTGTCCCAGTCAAAGATAATTTCATATATCATATACTTTAAATTATCTCTAAATTGCTTATAATACCTAATACAATGCAAGTTCTCTCTAAATAGTTGTTAAGCCATATTGTTTTGGGGATAATGACAAGAAAAAACCCATCTGTACACAACCGATACAGATGCAATTTAAAAAATATTTGCTCTGCAGCTGGTTGAATCTTTAGATATAGAACCAATGAATATAAAGGACTGACTGTACTTGTTTCTGAAAATGAATGTTTAAAAGATAACATAGATATTTGTACTTGGGATATTTGGTTTATGATGATGATACAGTCTTATTTTATTTCTTCCTGATCCAGTTTGGGTTCAGCCTTATAGGGGCAAGGTTGGGGCACATTTGACATAACACTCTAAGAGCTCTTTATTATACGGGTGTGTTTACTTGGCTAGTTACTACTAAACTATAAGCACATTGATGACAAGAACTAGATTTCATTGGTCTTTGCATGATCTTATGTATTCATTCATTTAAAAATAGTCACTGAGCATTTACTCTATAGGGGAAAAACCCTATTCCTCATATAGCAGTAGACTGGAAGAGGGCAGGATCACTCTTGAAAGTCCATTTTATTGTGTCATTAATGCATTCATGAAAGCAGATCCTTCATGTCCTAAACATTCACATTAGGCCCCATCTTCCAACACTTGCATTGGTAATTAAGTTTCTAACTCATGAGTTTTAAAGGGGAAAGGCAAACCACAGCACTTAGTTCATGAGGTATTTGGTGAGGAGGTATGCACAACAACCCTAATGGTTTTACTTTATATTAGACTGTAAGTATCAACTTCCTTTAGGATTTGAAGTAATTTAGGAACCATATGCTTCCAAAGCTCCTTGTTCATTCATTTGATTCAACAATTATGTTGAGTTTTTTCTCTGTGCCTAAAATATAGTAGGATATACCACAGAGGATGCTATAAATGCCATGGTAAATAAAGTGGACTTGCCCTTATGTAGCTTAATATCTAAAGACAGACATTAACCAAATAGCCCCATACATATATGATTACATCATGTGCTCAACACTATCTTTAGAGGAAAAATACAGCCATTGTGATTAGGCAAAAAGAATCTAATCTGTGGAGATAAGAGAATGCTGGGAACTCAGGTTAAGGGCTTTCTGGGCAAAGACTCTAGAACAGAAGCCAGGTGGCCTGTAAGCAACAGCCAGCAGGCCAGTGTGACAGGAGGTGTTTTCTGAATGAGGAGACTCCAACAAAAGGGTTCAACATCCCATTTCTGCAAGGAAGCAGGCCATCTGACACTCCAGTTTTCTCTGTATTTCCATGTCTAAGGAAATTTACTCAGAAGTCTTGAACTATAAATTTGTGTAGATAGGATTATTCATGTCCTTGGAAGGGCCTGCCCTATCTCCATGTGGCCTCCAGTCTCAGTGAGCTCAGGGTTTGTTGCTGCCCAAATTTCCAGGTCTTCACAAGAACCACTGCATTGGTGCCCTGTCAGCTGAAAAAGGTCATTTCTATTGATCTTTCCACATCAACACTTCTGTTCCTACAGAATAGCTCGTGAAAATCACTTATAATCACTGAAATCATGGGCATGATCAAAAGCTAGGTTAGAACAAAATTGTATGCACAGTAAGAATACAACTTACTGTGGGGATTTACTAGGGGCCGGGGATTTAGCTCAGTGGTTCTGACACCTGCCATGCAAATGCAAGGTCCTGAGTTCAACCCCCAGTACTGAAAAAAAAAAAAGAATACAAATACATTTAAAAATGCACATTTAAAAAGACTGGAAGGAAATGAATAAAAATAATAGTTTATTATTTTGTTAATAATAAAAATATTTATATGAAATCTTAAATGTCTTTTCCCCCTTTATTTTCTTGTTTTTAAGTACTCTTAGAAAATAATACTGAAATAATAAGGGAATATCAGATCTTTCCCTCACAACCTATTAATTTATTTCTTTAATATAAAAGACATAGAGGGGCTTTTTGGAACTGCTTTAAATATGAAATAGAAAAACATTGGGTTTCTCTGCTGGCAGACTTCACTGATTCACTAGGTAATGGACTGGTGAGCTCAGGAAAGGAAGAGAATAAGAACATTCTCCAAAATTCTGGGAATATCTACTTGCTGAGATCCTTGCAGGCCTTGGGCATTTTGGAATACATGTTGGAAAATAATGTGTAAAGAGAACAAAAGTGAGGGGCTGGGGATTTAGCCCAGCGGTGCCACCGCCTGCCACACAAACACAAGGTCCCGAGTTTGATCCCCAGAACTGAAAAAAAAAAAAAGATAGAACAAAAGTGGCTACCGGGGCTCAGGTAGACATTGTAACCATGAAAGGCAAACTCCATGAATGCTCAAATTGAGAACTTTCAGATAATTAAGATTTAGCTACCTCTCAAGAAGTAATGCCAATTTTTTGTCTGCAAAACATTTTAGAGAGCTGTAGGTGTAGCTCAGTGATAAAGCACTTGCCTGGCCTGTGTGAAACCCTCGGTTCAATTCCAGTGCAGAAAACAAAAACAAAAATAACCACCCCCAAAATCGTTGGGCAAAGTTCAACAGGTTAGCCTTCCAGTGTGCTACATACACAAGATGAAATGCCTTCAATTTCCTCTGTTATAATGCACTCTACTCACTTCATAAATACTTGCAAACAAAACTCACTTAAAAGCTTTTATTTGTCAACCACCTCACTGTATAAGGTTGTAAAGAAGGAAGCTGACAGAAACAAGGCTGGTCCCTTTGTTCTATTAGAGGGGTAACTTTCACATCAACAAAGTTAGACAAAATAAAATGTCTTGATTCCAGATAAAGGGCACTTGCTGTTCCTGCCTCCTTAGTTTTTATCACATACTACTGTTGTTGGGACATTTTTCGACAAGAAGATTTCAAAGGCCCTGTTAGGGAGTAACACAAGTTTCTACTGTGTAAACTTGGAGCTTCTTTCTTCACTCTGGGGGGTTTCCCATGGGGCCAAAGGCCTCAGACCTCAGTCAGCATCCTTCCCTGCCTGCAGTGGTCACTACCTAAATCATTTCTTGGTTTCCTTTCACTGCAAGCCTAGCTGAAAGAGAATCTGTTCAGCTGGCTTCCTTGTTGTGCCCAAGGCTCTTTTGTTCCCAAGGGAATACCAGTAATTACTGGAGGGGCTCCCTGTTGTCATCATATGGCAGTGAACACTGGAACTTATAGAAGGTCAAGGATCCTTTCAAGATTTGCACAGTGACACTTCCTGATTGCTCATGAAATGAAATAGTTTGACTCAAGAGACTCTACCTTTTGCTTGAAGTGGCCCAAGAAGGTCTCTTTATCTTCATTCTTGTCTGGAGGTTCTTAGAAGATAATACAAGGGGATATATTTTTTCCCCAAGTGACAGATCATACTTTTTAGTTTCACATCTCAAATGTGCAACAAAGTACAGTATAACAAGGGTTGGCTCACATTTCAGAAGTGCCACCTCTGTTTTTTTTTTTCTTTGCTTCACCATTTACTTTCCTTCTTGTTTCTCTCTTGTATGAGAATGATAAAATGTCTATGTACCTATCCCCACAAGCCCATGGAAGATGTCATTAACCAACCATTGAATTTTCCCTGATTAAGTTCAGGGATATAACCAGAAGTATCAACTGATCCAAATGGGCATTTGTAATCTACTCCTGGGTAGATATCCAAAGAAAATGTGTTTATTGGCACAAAATAAAATGTACAAGAATGTTTCTGGTAGCTATAGTCCCAATAGCCCCCGATTACAAACAAGCCAAATATTCATCAACAATAGAATGGGTGAAAACATAATGTATGCATATAATAAAATAATCTACAGCAGTAGAAAAGGATGAACTATTGATACTCATAGTTTGAATGCATCTCACAGACATAATATGAAGAAGTTAGACATAGCATAGATTCATTTTGTGAGTCCCACTTATTGCAGTTCAAAATCAGGCAAGCCAAGTGTATTACACACCTGTAATACCAACACTCTGGAAAGCTGAAACAGGAGGATAGCAAGTTAAAGTCCAGGCCAGACAATTTAGCAACTTATCGAGAGCCTATCTCAAAATTCAGAGCTCGGGATATAGATTAGTGCAAAGGCCCTCACGCCAGTACCACCCACAGGCACACACACACACACACACACACACACACACACACACACACACACACACACACCCCAAAACAAAATATTCAATCATGGTGATAGAAATCAAGGCAGTGGGGTGAAATGATTGAGAAGGGCATCAAGAAGCCTGCTGGAGGCTAAAAATGGTTCAATATTGTGTTACTGGTACTTATATGGATGTGCATATATACAGAAATTCACTGGTATACATTTAAGATTGGCATTCACTATAGTTATTCCTTATTTTAATGTCCTTAAAAGGGAGCACCAATTTGAAAACTACTGTCCAGCCCTTGCTTCCTGTGTTTCAGTATAAGGTCTTAAGCACACGATCTTCAGTCTGATTCTGATTCAAATTCAGTCTCTGTCACCTATTAGCTGTGTGTATTGAATAAATTATTTAACATGTTGTTTGTCACTTATGTAGGAAGGGTAAAAGTAGCACATACTTTATAACATTGTTTTGAGAGATTAGATAATTCAAAGTTTCCTGTACTACCTGCCAAGATATACTTAATGCACTCATAAAATATGACAGGTTGATTTTGTTCTTTCTCTTCTGCTTATATAGTTCTTTTTTATGTTGTCTTTTCCCCTCTTCTCCATACTTACTTTCTTCCTTTAATAGCCCCTAGTCTTAAAAAGCTGAAACACGAAATTTATATATTCTTTTAAGATGTATTAGATATAATTTTATAGTTATATTCATAATTAAAAGCAAATGCACTATTTTCTATGTCTCTTTTTAAAACAAAACTCCATACTCACTAAACTAAATTAGATAAAAATGTTTATTGTGGATGTGTAACCCTCAGTGGATTAACTCAGTGGTTCCCAAACTTATTTGCTCATTAGAATCACATGAGATCTCATAAAAATTCCAAAGATCAGGGCACATACCAAACCAATTAAATCATATTATCTGGGGGTCTGACACAGGCCTGATAGATTTTGAAGTTCTCCAGGTGATTCCAATGTGTATACAAATTTGAGAGCTACTGGATGAATGGCTTTCTATTCCTTCCGTAGTGTGTCAGCTACTTCAGCATGTGTATATATCTGAATCCTGACTGCACATTAGAATCACCTACAAAGCTTCTAAATAATACTGTTGCTCAGGCCTCACCCTGGGTAAGGTGTGAATGTTTCTAATGTGCAAACACCATTAAGAGACCATCTTAATGGGTGTCCTTGTAACTCTTTGATCAGGATAACTCCAGCCTTCCAGCCTCCTACCCTACCCAGTGTTCCTCTCAAATTAAAATACTGTACTTTATCCTTATGCTTTTGAAAACTCCCATCCTTGTCCCTTTCCCATTGCAAGCTGAATATGGAGAAGTATGATGTGATACTGATAAGTTTTTAAAAAATTTGTTTTGCCCTCAGTATGGGATTGTGCTGGATGCAGGCTCTTCTCATACAAATTTGTATATCTACAAGTGGCCAGCCGAAAAGGAGAATGACACAGGGGTGGTGTATCAGATAGAAGAATGTAAATTAAAAGGTAAGATGAAACAAGGGGAAAGGGATTCAGTGGAATATGAGAACATGAGAGGTGCATGGCAAGTACAAGGAAAGAGAAAAAGAAACCCTAAGCATGGGAAGTCAAATTAAGAACACAGTGGGACTGCTGTTTTTATTTTATAATTATAAAAATAATATCATAAGTATTATTTGCATTTTTTAAAATGAAACTACCAACAGTAAAAAAGGTTAATACCACTCTTTAGGGGCACTAAGAGCTAGTAAGTAATGGAGCTGGAGTGCAAACCGAGGTCTGCTTGACTTAAAACCCACATCTTAGCCAGTTGTTTTTAGACTTGGAACTGCATCAGAATCACCCTGCATCCACAGGGTCCCAAGTGCAGAGTTCTTGAGTCAGATCTAGGAGGAAGCCTGGGAATGTGTATCTCTAATGTCTCCCCAGGTACAGCTGCTGGTGGTCCAGGGAATTGCTACTTTCTCAATCTTTGTCCTCTAATCTACAGCTTGGAAGAAATTTTCTAAAGCCTTCAGCCTCTGTGTAGCAGGAAAGACCAGATCAGAGATTCTTAGGCTAAGAAAAGAACCTAATGGATCATTTAAATCTTGTTTTATAGAGAAGGAAGCAAAAACCTGGAAGATTAGTTCCTGACAAGTAGCAACAGAACCAGTACAAGAATCTAGGTCTCCTAAGTACACTCCAGGCTTCCTGCTACTCTGAACCACCATGTTACATACTAATTTATTTTCTAGTCTGTTTTAAGGTCACACTCCAAGGAGGTTGTTGACGGTTTGGCTCTCTTCACTCCCTCCACCTAACCATGACTAGACATTTCTGTATTGCACCACAACCGCTCTGACTGTTATCTTTCTTGGCCTTTTCAGCCAGGAATCTACTATTTTATTTTCAGACAGATAACCTATATTCCAGAAAATAATTGAGTTTTAGTCTAATGGCCTGTATAGTTCTACTAATTTTTATTTGTCAACAGAGTAGTAGAGAGGAGATCTTTTCAAGAGAGAAAGTCATTCTTCTCAATAGCCTGGTACCCTGAGACTTTGGCTCAATCAATACTGAGACAATACTTCTTACATATTTTAAGATCTCAGTCGCTCATTTTATAAGATCCCAATCCCTCTTCTATTTAATTCACTGTCTTCTGTTTTTTAAAAGTTTGGTTTTTAATCTAGAAGATGTCTTTCTTCCAAGACTCATCTCATGAGTGCATGAGTGTCTAAAAAATACAGTATTTTCCCCTTTCAAAAGAGAGTTAACCAGACATTTAAGGCCAGATTATCTGAATCAAAATAGCTGGTAATTTAGACACGATTTTCTCATATTTAAATAGTCTACTTTTAAACTTGTGAATGATCTGTTTAACTTATTTGAAAAATTATCTTCAAAGAATACTCCTTATGAAACACTATATATTATCTTATTGTGAGATGAAAATCTTGAGTGTTAACTTCAAAAGCTTAAGGAATCTTAGCTCTAATCTTCTCTATAGCAACAGTGAATTTTTCTCTAAAACGGGAAAAACAATCTTACTAGGATGTCAGGGTTTGGAGTGGAAAAGTCACTGAAGAGACATTGATTCTATTCCCATTTCATCTAACAAAGGAAGAAACTCTGCCTCAGAAATTTTAGTTTACTGGCTGTGATCACATAGCTAGTTAGGAGCAGCTTCTATCTTTTCAGCGTCAATGAATCTGGTGCTTATTTTTAGTTCTAAATATATTTATTTAGGTCTTTTAGGAACTAATGTTATTAATTACAACTTAGTGAAAGAATCATCCAAATAGTGAACCTATTTGTAAGATCCCTATCAGAAGCTGAGATGTTACATATTGAATATGAAATTGCTCCATCCAGTGGTGAAGTTATTGAATACCAAACACAGCCCAAGAGCTGAAAATTAAATCATACTGATGTTAGGTTCAAAGTTGCCCTCCAAGAATAACAACCTAATATATAGCACATCAGGAAATTGCTTTCTTGTATTCGCTCAGTCTGAATCATATTTTGCTGAAATATTATCAAGGTATGTCCTATACTTTTTTTTGTCATCTTCTATATCTTTCTCTAGGTCCTGGAATCTCAAAATATGCTCATAAAATAAATGATTTAGAAACATACCTGATTGAATGTATGGAAAAGTCCAGGAATGTGGTTCCAAAGTCTCTGCACCAAGAGACACCTGTTTACCTGGGAGCTACAGCGGGCATGCGCTTGCTCAGGTATAGCAGCATGTAGGGACCAAAAGTGGCTAAGTATAAGAAGCAGTCCAAGAACTTCTGAAATTATAGGAGAGGGCCACATTTCCCTAACACCTCAAATTCTCTCTCTCTCTCAAAGTCAACATCTAAGAAAGAAAATTTCAGTGTGAATAAAACTCCAAAACTCAGAGTATGCATAATACAGTAGTAAGATTTTAAGTATGTAAAAAAGCTTTGTCTATCTCCCCATGGGGAACTCAAGGAGAAGGCAAGAGAAAGATTGAGTCTATGTGCTTGAGATTTGGGATACAAATTTAGTCAATCAGTAACTTGGAGGAGGAAGACTAGAGGAGAAATATAGATACCCCAAAACAACTAATCACAGTTAGTATATTCTTAATTAGTCACCACTTGGTACCTGTATGCACTAGTTGTTTACTTGCTCATTCATTCATTCATTCATTCAGTATGTCATGAATACTTACTCTGCCTAGAATATTGAAGTAGGTGACTCAGCCCTCAAGGAAACCAGAATTTCCGTAGAGGTTGATCAAGTTTTTTATAAAAGAATGCTCAGAGCTGCTACGGGGGGCACTTTGTGCTGCCTAGGATAAGACATTGTGGTCAGAAAGAAGTGTCAGAACAGAGGATGAGTCAGAGGTTAAGGGAAAGGCATGACTGGCAAAGCAGACAGCATGCACATGCATCCAGTAATAAACTTTTATTTGGCACTTAGTCTGTGTTCTGCACTGTTTTAAGTGCTGAGATTACAGCACAGAAAAGGACAAAGTTCCTGATTTCTTGGAGTTTGCATTCTGATGGATATGCAAAGGCAGGGAAATGAGGGGAGTGGGGAAATAGTCAGAAGACTGAATAGTTCTGCATAGATAGAAGCTAAGGGTCCTTGTTGTAATCTTATTTTGTGATCATATTTTATCACTTTGTAATTTAATAATAATAGTAGATCATTTTTTGAGGCTTTGCTATGTTTTTAGCACTGTGCTAAGCACTTAACACTTTGTTTAATTTAATCATAGCTCTGTGAAGTGAGAAATATTATTAACTATTATAAACAAGATAATGAAGCTGTGGGTTACAAATGTTAAGTCAAGGGTCACATACCTGGTAGTTATAGGTTGCATATGGGATCCAGATGCAGTCGGGGTCCAGATCACAGAGTGCCTCGAATGCTAGGAAACTTGCTAGGAAGTTTGGAGTTTATCTGGATATAGTGGGAAGCCATTTAAGAATGTTACGATTGGTACCACTGCTGGAGATGGACGAGAGAGGAGGAAAGCTAGGGATGAAAGGAAGGCAGATGGTAGATATGGATATTATTCAGATGAGCGATTACAGTTACATGGTAGCACCCCCTACTGCCACCACCAGAGGCTTTCAGTATTGCATAGCCTGGATTTTGAAAGTAACTGCATCCCATCTTCACTATGAAAACCTTGGAAAACTCCTTTTTAGGTCTCAAGGCCTCTAAGAACTGATAATATGAGGAAGATTTTTTTCCTTAGTCTGGTAGCAAGGGAGGTTGAGTATCTGTTTCTGGTCATTTGCCACCTCTTTCTATTATAGCCCTAATTAAAAATCTCAAGCAGAGTTTGTATAACCAACTAGGAGCTACCACTAGTGGCTAATACATATAAAACACATCAGCTGTAGGGTGTGGTGATGAGACCATATCTAGCTACTACCACCACCATAGTCATTTTAAGAGCCTTTGATATTTTTTGAACTAGAGAACAACAGAGCAAAAATGATATTTTAAGAAGATCTACCTTCTCACGAATTGAAAGGAGTTGGATTTGAAGAGAGAGAACCAAATATTAGCTCTACCTCCTCAAAAATACAGGGTTCCGGGCCGGGGATTTAGCTCAGTGGTGCCACCGCCTGCCTCGCAGGTGCAAGGTCCTGAGTTTGATCCCCGGTACCAAAAAACAAAAAAAACCAGAGGGTTCCTCTGACAACCACATGTGAGCATCCCCACATCTCCATTTATTCCATTGTTTTATAGTTCACATCTTAGGATCCTTGCCTAGAAGCACTGGCTGAAATGAGTAGGTATAATTATTAAGAAAAAATGCTAACCTCACCTCTTCTTTTGCGTAGAATGGAAAATGAACAATTGGCACAAAGTGTCCTGGAAAAAGTGTCGAGTAGCCTTAGCAACTACCCCTTTGACTTCCAGGGTGCCAAGATCATCACTGGCCAAGAAGAAGGTGCCTATGGCTGGATTACTATCAACTATCTGCTGGGAAAATTCACTCAGGTGAATACTTCATAGCACACATGAAGGTGGCTTCTTGGGGACCAATGCTATCACCATCTCAGACAGTATTTGGGACACTAGCCAGCATCAATGATGGATTAATTAACCAATTAATTAATTTACTTTCTCACTCATAAGGATCACCTAAGGCAATAGTACTTCTACTACTACTGGAGAATATGGAAGCCATGCCTTCACATTAGAGAGACAGAAAGGAAAATAAAATTGATCATTAAAAATAAGAATACCCAGTATTCACCTAGTGCTGTGTGTCTTGTGCTATGCACTTTTTGTGCACTGTGTAACTTTATCCTCAGATATGAGGTACTGTTCTACTCCCCCTTTTAAAGGAGACTATTCTGATGCCTAAGAATTAGGCCCAAGGTTACACAGCTAATGACTGACTAAGTAGGGATCTGAAAGTGATTCTGCCTGGCTCCAGACCTCTTGGAAGTACTAGTTATACTCCTACTATGTTGCTGCTGTCTGAGCTAAGCCCTTCTTTTCCTGCTATTGATTTCATACAGACTCAAACCTCTAGTGAGCTTTGCCTAAGCTTTCTGCTCCTGTTTTTCTAGCTTAGGAAGCCCCTGAGTTTAAAACAATAGTGTGAAAAGCAGCATCTACAGAGACTTTTTGTACTTGGTGATTATATTCTTTTTCAGAAATTGAATTGGCTCAGCCTGGTCTCACTTGAAAGCAATAGTCAGGAAACCTTTGGAGCTTTGGACCTTGGGGGAGCTTCTACACAAATCACTTTTGTGCCCCCAGACCACACTACTGAATCCTCAGACAACTCTCTACAATTTCGCCTCTATGGTAAGGACTACAATGTGTACACACACAGCTTCTTGTGCTATGGGAAGGATGAAGCACTCCAGCAGAAACTGGCCAAGGACATTCAGGCAAGTATAAATGAATTCAGACCTGCACTCCTCACATCTGGTTCTTCAGCCCCCACATCCTGTTATTTCCTTTCTAATTTAGTAATTGGTCTGAAGTTGGTTATTGTACTTTCCAAACCTTTTCAGGCAGGATACCAAACTACAGCTGGTCGACCCCTATGAATTGTTCCATCCAGACATCCCCTCCTTGTTTGTTTACTGCACTATCTCCAAGGACACAACTTAGATCTTTTCCTGGGAATTAATTTCTCACCCCTGTGGGTAATGAAAGTGACATATTACAGTATTGTTCAAGGGGAAGGCCTGTAATTTATATGTTCTTCTAGACTACTTTTTTTTTTTTGTACTGGGGATTGAACTTGGGACCTTACGCTTGCAAGGCAGGTGGCAGAACCACTGAGCTAAATCCCTGGCCCATAGACTACTTTTTAATCTCCCTGTTCTACAAACTATAGAAACCAGGTTTGTTAATAATGACCCGGATAGGCAGAGGAAAAAACATACTTTAGGGAAAACACATTTATCAATCAATCCTTCAAATCTTGTTCCCAAATGATATTTGCATTGTGAAAAAGGCAAGAAAAGTTAAACACTCAGCATCATGAGAGTACCAGGCACATTGTGACAAACAGAGTAAGGTTGTCATATACAGCTGTTTTCCATCTCCACTAAAAGGACAAGCAATTCTCTGCTCCCCTCTAAGGGACTCTCTCTCTCTCTCTCTCTCTCTCTCTCTCAAAAGCACTCTCAATAAGATGAACACCATGAATGAAGGAGAGAGAGAGAGGGGTGAGGGAGACTGGAGAGAGAGAGAGAGAGAGAGAGAGAACTGAGTGAGGTTCTCTCATTCAGGTTTAGGTTTAAACCTTCAAGGTTTACTAAGCTTATTCACCACAGCCCCCTTTCTTCTTTTGGGGGATAGACTGCAAATCATTTTAATGCTATTGACTTAAAGGACTTAAAATACCTTCCTGCTTTTAGGGCTTCTAATTCTTTCTCAAGGGAGGAGAGAAAAGGGCAGAATGCAGACCTCTGAACTACTACTCTCAGCTTCACATTTTTGAGAGCCTTGAGAGTTTTCTTTGAATCTGCTCCTGACCTATGCCATTAGAAGTAAACACTCAGGCACATTCCCAACCAATAGCATTTCTAGGCCCAACTTTTGCTATATCAGCATTCTAAAAATATACCAGTACATTTATATCTGTACCACTTCTAGTACCTGTTACACAAATCTATTTTCTTACTTATTCCCAAGGATGAAAAGGAAAGGCAAGGATGTATAGATGCCAATGCTGAGTACTGGAATGTTATATGAAGTTTAAATAGCAATGAAGTCAGACTGTGCATTTTGTGTCCTAAGTATTTACACAAGATTCCTTCAAATGATTTTTCCATTTAGGTTTCAAGTAATGGAATCCTTGAGGACTCATGCTTTCACCTCGGTTATGAGAAGTTTGTGAATGTAAGTGAACTTTACAAGACTCCTTGCACCAAGAGATTTGAAAAGACTCTGCCATTTGATCAGTTTCAAATACAGGGAATTGGAAACTATCAGCAATGTCGGCAAAGTATCCTTGAGCTCTTCAACACCAGTTACTGCCCTTACTCCCAGTGTGCCTTCAATGGGATTTTCTTGCCACCGCTTCAAGGGGATTTTGGGGTAAGTTTGTGAAATGATGAGGTACATTGGTTAAGATGATTTTGGTTGCAAGTTACACAATGTTCCATAAAGGCTCTAAATAATAGAGTTCATTTTTCTCCCACAAAATATCTTGAGATAATTCTGGGTTAGTTCTTTGGCTCAACAATATTAGGATTTGGGGTCAGTTTCTCCATTATCTTCTTGACCTTCTAGTGGTACTAAGACAGCAGCTACTGCTCCAAGCATCATATCTTTACATGAAAAGCCAAAACAGAAAAGGATTTTCCTGCACACGTTTTTCTCTCATTTTGTAGAAATGCCAACAGACACCACAAGTTTCCTGAGGGAAGTACATCACAGGACAATGGCTGGCAGAGTAACACTTGGCTGTTAGCTGGCTCCAAATCCAAATTCAGAACAAACTAGAACCTCACTTGAATCCCATGTGGCTGAACTGGCATTGGTTTTCTACTCTTTGGTTTTAGGTGCCAGAGCCCTTCCTTTCCTTTAGTTGAACTTTTAGAAGAGGAAGGAGGGGTGGGTACCACAGAGAGAAGCACATAGTCAGGGCTGCTGGAGATAGGCAAGGGCCTTTTTCATTCCAGTTACTGCTAGGAAGTAAATCTGAAGGAAAATGAATATAGCCTGTGTGTTTACTTTTTAACTTCTTTAAAAGCTTTGCATTATGGGAAACATGGCTCAATTCCTGCCTTCAAGTTTGAGCAAACCTTCCCTCCTCAGGGAATGGAATCTCTTGCCTTTGAATGTGATTCATTCAACCAAAGTAGGGAGATGTATGGGTTGGAAAATGGTGGAGGGGCCTTGAGTTCCCCTAGAGACTTTTCTATTTGGTTGCTTAGTCCCTCATTAAGATTGTTCTCACCGCTTTCTAAACCTCAGTTTGCTGATTCCTTTAATTTCTCAAAACAGCATCTTTCTTCTCTGGATATAGCCCTCAAGGTCAGCACTAGCTGGGGCCTAGTCTTGCTTTGGCAGTTTCGTTCTGCTTCAGGTCTTTTTTTTGTCACCTCTGTCATTTCTTCTTAAAGCCTAAATTTGAGTGGGGGCCGTAGGAGGGTCTGGTTTGTTATCTATGATGTGTAGTCAGAAACTATGGAGAATGTTTATATTTTTAAAAAAATCACCCTAAAAATGCTCCCCCCCCACTCTGAACTCACTTATCCCATCATTCTTGCCACTTTCTGAAACAGTTCTATAAAGTTTTCTTTCATGAATGTCTTTAGTTGCACTGTCATGGCTATCTTGATTATCCTGAATCGGTTCAAAATATTTACCTTTAATGATCACTTTGTCTTTGGGGAAGAATCAAAAGTCACATGTTGCCAGATCTGGTGAATAAAGTAGATGAAGACTCACTGTAATGTTTTTGTTTGAGAGAAATTGCCATAAACATTTGATCAGTAAGAAGTGATCACAAAATATAGTGAATGTTTAAATTAAAAAATATATTACAGTAAAAGACACTGCCATTAATTACCCTCAAAATACTTAAAATACTTCCCCTTGCTTTGAACACACATATCCCATCATTCTTGGTAATGTGTCTTTTACTGTTATAAGATTTAAAATTTAAAAAATATTCATCTTATTTTTCAATCACCCCTTTATAAAATGAGGATTGTAATACTATTTCATTGACAATTAGTTGTGAACAATACATGCCAAACAATCAGTGACATGGCTGATAAATGTCTAATAACAAGTTCTTGGTAGATGGGGAGCTGATTTGTGGCATTTGCCAATTTCAGTGGTGTTACTATTCCCACCAGAGCGTAGTCCAAGCCACCAACTTCATAGCAACTAGAAAGCAAAAACTCCTGAAATTTAATAGTTGGCTCTTGTGAATGTGTAAGAGCCAGCCCCCACACACCATGGCAAAGAGCAAAAAGCTAACATACCCTAGCATCAGGTAAGCTCTTGAAAAGTTTCTTTCTTTCTCCTAGCAGTCTTAATTCTACAGTGGAAGTTCTCATTCTGAACTACTGGGACTTGAAGCATAACTATTTGCAAAAACAGCAACAAAAGTCCATTTGCATTCCTATTATTTTCTGAACCAGTTAGACAGAGTGCTCTCAAACCACAGAGAGTTTATGGAGGAGGGAGTTTTTGCTACAATTGCATTCATCCCTGATGATTTAATTCTAAATCTGTAAATACAGTACTAAAAACTGTCAAGGCTCTAGTCATTCTAGCTGCATGGTGGCCTTGGTTACTAGCTTGATTCCAATGTTATAGGCAAAGTGGAAACACCAACAAAAAAGAGGAAACATCTGTTGGGAATTACTTATGAAATATTTTAAGAATTATGTTAAGATCACACCATCCCATTTATATAAACAAGAAAGTAGAAACAAATTCAATAAGGAACTGGAACTAAAGAACACTTAAAATAAAAAAAAAAAACACTTAAAATGTATTTGTTTACACATATGTACAGTTGACCACAGAACAACACAGAGGTTGGGGGCACTGGTTCCATAATAGCAGTTGAAAATCTATGCATAAATTAAAATAATTGTTTAAGACCTTTATTAACAGGCATTTGCAATTACTTTTTAAAAATCAAACTATAAACTTGGAGAGGGAGCTGGTCAGTGGGTATCTAAAGGCAAGTTGAAGAATTCCTAGAACCAAGGCAGTATTTCCCTCAAGAACTGCCTTTGAACCCATTCTAGCAAAAGAACATCTGCTGATTTAAGTCCCCCAAATCCCTATCCTTAGAGTAGGATCAGAATGACTTTTTTTCTAAAATCTTTTAAAGAATCATTACAGCTACAGAAAGAAATTTGGGGATATGACCTTGAACCATCTGATTTTGACCAATGTTTTTTTCCTGGTGTATTAAAAGAATTTTTGGTCATTTGATATAATTCTTGAGATTAAAAATGGAAGCATTCTAGGAGCTGGGGATTTAGCTCAGTGGTTCTAGCGCCTGCCTTGTAAGCGCAAGGTCCCAAGTTTGATCCCCAGTACGAAAAAAAAAAAAAAAGAAGGAAGCATTCTAAATAAAGTTAAGGTTATTTTTTATTATACCATATATATAAATCAAGTAAAAATACCTTAAACACTGCCATTCTATCCCATCAACAACTTAAATTTTCTCAGTTGAATTCTGATCCATGTTTGTATAAGCATTGATCCATTATAGAAGATACTTTCCCTTTCCCCATGGATTGAACAGGCCATCTTAGATATTAATCCAGTGTTTGGTGAATATCTGAAAAACATGTTGAAGGGAAAGCTACCACTTAGGCCATGACACATGAAGGCTCCCACAAAAGTTGACAAGTTGATGGAATGAAAAAAATGAATGAATATGAATGAATTAGTACCTGAGTAAGGGAAGAGAAATAAGTGACCTTATTCTGGAGCATGATTGTCTGATAAAAATTAAAAACCATACAGCTCACCTATCAGAATTTGCTTCTGATTTTAATTGAAAGATTTGTTATCTATTGTGACTACAAAAAAACTATTTCTATATTATACCTTTATTTGGGGGGGATATAAAAGTACAGTATTTATCATACTTATTTGAAAAAATTAAGACATTGCTTTAGATTTGGTTCAGATATTTATAATAGAAGACCATATTTTCTATTCCTGTATATAATGGGATTGTTAAATGACTCCACATTGCATATTTGACTCTTACGTTAAGAAAGGATTCTAAATCATAACCTGTTTAACCAACACAAAAACTAGAAGCAAAATATTGAGGCTGTCTAAACCAGTCATTTTCTCTTTCTTTTTGTACATATGGTAAAATACACATAATGTGAGATTTCCCATTTTAACTATTTTTATGTATGCAGTTCTGTGGCATTAAGTAATTACACATTATTGCACAATCATCTCCACTATCCATGTGCAGAACTTTTTCGTCTACCTAAACTGAAAATCTGCAGCCATTAAACAAAATGTCAATTTAGCCACTGATGCTACTACCATTCTACTTTCTGAATGAATTTGGCTATTTCAGATGCCATTATTTAATGGAATCACACAGTATTTATACTTTTGTGACTGGTTTATTTCACTTAGCATAATGTTGTATGTTTTATATGTTATAATGCTAAATGTTTTCATTTAGCATAATGTCATTCTTAACTCTGTAAGAGATCACAAGGTTCTTTTGAGAATCTGATGAAAGCTAAGGATGCTGCAAGCAGAAAAATGGGCATGTAAAAATATGTCAAAAAATAGGTCCCTTGAAATGGACCTATGTTTCCCAGAGTAAGAACCCTTGACATAGACTAAAAATATATAAAGAACATAGATATGAAAGTCAAACCATGAGCCTAAACTGAACAATAGCTGGGAGTAAATGTTCCCATTGGTGTCAGGGACTACATCTATATAGAAATATGGAGGCAGAATCAGACACATGCCAGAGACAGATGACCCTGCAATTGATATTACCTAACCCTGCCTCTAAAATGCTTCCTGCTAGAGAAGAGCTGGCCTAATAACTAGTAATGTGCAAGCAGAGAAGTTGTTAGAGAAGCAAATTAGAATGACTAGCTGAGTTAGCATGAGGGAGTGGGGACAAGTCAAACAGTTTGTTTAGGGCCTGATTTTTACATAAAACTGTAATCCAGTTGGGTGTCATGATGCAGGCCTATAATCACACTATTCCAGAGGCTGAGGCAGAGTACATCCTGGGAAACACAGTGAGACCCTTTCCCCAGATAATAATGACTGGGGATATAGCTTGACACTCCCTGGCTTCAATCCCCAGTACCACAAAACAAACATACAAAAAACCTGTAGCGGCTGGGGATTTAGCTCAGTGGTTCTGTCACCTGCCTTGCAAGCGCAAGATCCTGAGTTAATCCCCGGTCCAAAAAAAAAAATCTGTAGCGCCTTTTTCTGTTTTTACCTGTGACTACAAGTGCTTCATTTAATTTATATTTCAAATTACAGTCAATATATTTTTATTGAACTTTTGGAAAATGATTTAACAAACTCCTTTTTATTTTTATTTCATTATGGACAAATTTGGCTTTGGGTTAAATTTCTCTTCTACACCTTCTTCTTCTTCCTCCTCCTCCTCTTCCTTCTCCTCCTCCTCTTCTTCCTCTTTTCTTCTCCTCTTCCTCCCCCTACTTCATTTCCTCTCCTCCTCCTCTTCCTGTTTTTCCCTCCCCCTCCTCTCTTTTTCCTCCTCTTTCCCTTCCTCCTCCTTCTAAGGATTAAACCCAGGGCCTTTGCACTGAGCTACATCCCCAGACATTTTTTAAATTTTTGAGACGGGGTCTTGCTAAGTCACTGAGTTGCCCATGCTGTTCTCATACTTGTGATCCTCCTGCCTCAACCTCCCGGTATGCTGGGATTTGAGACACATACCACCTCAATAACAAATTTCTGGCTTTGTTCCTGGAAACCTGATAAAAGTGTTAGTTACATTACCAGATAACTATTTGGATTGAAAGTGGTAGAGAAATCTAGCTAAAGAATGAAACAAAATTTCTTTTTTCTTTTTCTTTTTTTTTTCTTTTTGTTTATTTTGAGACAGGGTCACACTATATAGCCCATGCTGGCCTCAAACTAATTCCTGCCTCAGCCTCCTGAGAGCTGGGATTACAGGCATAAGGAAACAAAATTTCTTAAGAAATGTTAAGATACATAGATATATAAATATATAGATATATATACTTTTGTTAGAGACTTGTTATATATGTATACATTAAAAAATAACATTGGGTTTATTTTACCTAGAGTTAAAGTATATGACTTGTTTGCTGCAGGAAATTGCCAGGTAGAAGGTAGCTTTCTTCTTCTCTGAGGAAAAATTCAGCCCCCAAAGGGATAAGATCAATGTTCTTGTATGTTGGACACACCCACCTAAAACTGAATTTTTCTTGTGCAGGCATTTTCAGCTTTCTACTTTGTGATGGATTTTTTAAACTTGACATCAAAGGAAGTTTCCTCTCAGCAAAAGATGAATGAGATAATGGAAAAGTATTGCTCTAGGCCTTGGGAGGAGGTAAGTGAACAAGATACAGCAATTGCCCTGTGCCCTCAGTAGTACAGAAAACATGAATCTGCTCTTAACTTGTGATGATCAATCAGTATCCACTGAATGTGTAAGAGAAGCCCATAAGGTGGGCTAATGAAAGAATTTATCAATATTCCTTGACAATTTGACATACAATGACTTAAATAAAGTATTATGTTTCTCACCTAATATGAAGTCTGACAGTAAGCTGCTGCTGAAATGGGGCCTGTAGCTCATTTCTTTTTCAACCATTGCTGCTTCAATTCAGTTTTTATGCCTAGTTTCTCATGGACACAAGATGACTACTGTGGCCAGGCATAGTGGCACACAGCTATAATCCCAAGAACTCAGGAGACTGAGGCCTGTGGATTGCAAGGTTAAGGCAAGCTTGGGCTATCACAAAATTAAAAAAAAATGTTTTTAAGGGTGGGGCATATAGCTCAGAGCTCCCTGGGTTCAACCCCAGATTTGGTGAAAATAAGTATTATTGTAGCTTCTATAGTCATGATCAGAACAAGGGTAAAACCAGATATATCTGTTTCTTTTTGCAGGAAAAGAGAGGCCATCCCAGGAGCCCATTGCAGTGTTCCCCTAATTTAAAAAAATTTTATTTTATTTTTAATTGATTGATACACAATAACTATACATTTTATGTGATATTTCAACACTATATATATAGTGTTGTGATAAGAAAATTCAAAATCCTCTTTACTAGCTCTTTTGAAATACTATATACACTATGGTTAATTATGGTCATCCTAATGTTTAAAAGAACATCAAAACTTATTCCTCCTAACTATAACTTTATACCCACTTGCCAACATCTCCTCCTTCCCTCCCTGCTACCTCTCTTAGCCTTTCATAACAATTATGTCTTGATTCAACTCTATGAGATCAACTATTTCATATTACACATATGAGTGAGATCATGTGCTGTTTGTCTGAGCCTGGCTTATTTAATTAAACATAATGTCCTTCATGTTTATCCATGTTGTCCAAAATGATTTGAGTTCATGCTTTTTAAATGGCTGTCTAGTACTCTATTGTGTATGTCTATATTTTCTTTATCCATTCATCCAATAAGTTGATTCCCTTTCTTAGCTTTTGTGAATAGTGCTTCAGTAAACATAGGAATGCAGATATCTTTTTGACGTACTGATTTCATTTTCTTTGGATATACACCCAGCAGTGGAATTGCTAGATAATAAAGTACTTCTATTTTTAATTTTTTGAGGAACCTCTATACTTATTTTCATAGTGGCTGTACTAACTTTCCTACTAACAGTTTATAAGAGTTCTTTTTTCTCCACATCCTTGTATTGGGGATTACCTTGCACATACTGAGTGCTCTACCACTGTGCTACACCCCCACCTGTTTTTTTTTTATAATAGCCATTCTAAGAGGAGTGAAGCTGTAGCTCATTTTGTGTATGCATGCATGTGTGTATGTGTTTTAACTAATCACAGGTCCACTGTCAGTGATTCTGATTTAATTGGTTTCAGATATACTTGGCTAGGCATTAGAACTTTTTATTAATACATAATATTTGTACATATATATGTGGCACAGTACAACAGTCTGATAGAGTAAACAACGTGTCATGATCAAGTCAAGGTAATTAGAACTCCTGTCTTTTCAAAGATTTATAATTTCTATGTTTTCAGAAACTTTGTGCTTTTCTAGTTATTTTGAAATGTATCATAGATGATTGTAAACTATAGCAACACCAGAACCAGTTCTTCCTTTCTAGCTGTATTTTGGTGTCTCTCATCTTACTTTGGTCTGTCCTTCCTATCCCCTACCATTCCCAGTCTCTTGTAACCAACATTCTATTCAGGTCTTCTATGAGTTAATGTTTTTTGCTTCCACAAATGAGAACATGTGATATTCACATCTAGTTTTAAATTTTCAAGGTATCTCCATACTTTTTTCCGTAATGTTTTTTTTTTGGTACCAGGGATCAAACTCAGAACCTTGTGCTTGCGAGGCAGACAGCGGAACCACTGCGCTAAATCCCCGGCCCCCACAATGGTTGTTCTAATTTACATTCTCACAACAGTACATAACAGTACATCTCACAACAGTTTCGCTTTTTCTGCATCATCTCTAATATTTGCTGTTTTTTATTTTTAAATTTTATTAGTACACATGTGCGGTACATAATGTTTACATTCGTGTGTGGAGTGGTGCATGTACATAACACATCTCAGTTCCTTTTTTCAACCCCTTTTCTTCCACTTCTCCCCCTTCCATCCATGTTTTGAATCCCTTCTTTTATTCTTTTTGTACATATTTTCAGTACATAATATTTACATTCCTTCTGTGGAGTTGGTACATGTATGTAACACTTCCCAGTTTCTTTCTTTTTATTCCCTGTCCCTTTCCTCCTCCCTTCTCCGTCTCTTTATCCTCTTCCCTTTTGAGAAAAATTTCTCTCTCTGCTTCCTATTATCTATCTTTTCTTTTGCTCTTTGTTTTTACTCTGGGTTTCTCATATAAGAGAAACCTGTGATATTTAAGCTGTATGTCTTATTTATTTCACTTAACATTATGGTCTAAGGTGCACCTGTTTTTCCTATTTTTTGTCTGTGCAGCCCAGGCTGGCCTCAAACTTGGGGCAGTCCTTCTGCCTCAGTCTCCTGAGTACTGGGATTATAGGTATGTGCCACCATACCTGGCAATCTTTTTTAAAATAGCCATTCTAACTAGGAAGAGATGATATGTCATTATTATTTGATTTGCATTACCCTGATGATTAGAAATATAGAGCATTTTTATATATCTATTGGTTACTTTTATGTCTTTGGAAAATTCAGATTATTTTCCCATTTTTAAATTGGATTATTTGGAGTTTTTGTTTTTGCTGTTGTTTGAGTTCTTTGGGTTGTCTTTTCACTGTTTATTTCACTCTGTTGTGCAGAGGAAATACTCCTCTATTCCTACTTATCTAGTTTTACTTTTGTTGCATATGCTTTTAGGGTCATATCCAAAAAATCTGTGCCTACACTAATGTCTTGCAAGTTTCAGGTCTTATGTTAGATCTTTGATCCATTTTGGGTTGATTTTTGTATATAGAAACAGGTACAATTATAGTTTCAATTTTATGCATGTGTATACCTAGTACAATGCTGTTTTAGTTATTGTAGATTTGTGTAGTATGTTTTGAAATCAGCTTTGTTTTTGTTGTTGGTTGGTTTTTCTCAATATTACTTTGGCCATTTTAGACCTTTTGTGCCTCCATGTAAATTTTAGGATTTTCCTTTTCTTTTCTTTTATTAGTACATATATGTAGTGCATAATGTTTATATTCATTGTGGGAAGTTAATACACATGCATAACACATCTTAATTTCTTTTGTCATCCCCTTTCCCTTCCCTCCCACACTCCTCCACTCACCTCTTGATCCATTTCCTTTCTTTTTGTTCCTGTTTGCAGTACCTAATGTTCACATTTCTTGTGTGGCATTGGTACATGTACATAGTTTTTTTTTTCATCCCTTATCCCTTCACCCACCTCCTTCAATCTGATGATCTCCCTCCCTTTTGAGAACAATTTATTTTCCTACTTCCTATTATCTATCATTTATTTATTTTTTAAAATTAGTTTTATTGGTGCATTCTAGGCATATAATACAATGACATTCATCATTGGAAATTTGCACCTTTGCATAATGTCTCTTGGTTCTTATTTTTTTCCCCATCCCCTGCCCTCCCTTCAACCCCTCCATCCCTCCCTATTTACAAAGACTTTGTTTCCATTTTTCTATTTTCTCATATTAATTCCATTCCCTTCTTTCCTTTGCCCTACCCATCCTTCTTCCATTCCCCTTTGCCCCCTTTCTTCCTATTTTACATCATCTATTATACCTTTTAGTCCTTATTTACATTTTCAGTTTTTCACACTAGAGAAACTATTTGGTGTTTACACATGTGTGTCCTATTTATGTCACTTAAGAGTATCACTTCAGGGCCGGGGATTTAGCTCAGTGGCCCCAGGGCCTGCCTCGCTAGCACAAGGTTCTGAGTTTGATCCCCGGTACCAAAAGAAAAGTATCACTTCAATGTGCATCCATTTAGTTATAAATGTCTCTAATTCCTCATTTTTTGTGGCTGAGTAGTACTCCATTTATTAAAAAAACCACATTTTCTTTATCCAGTCTCCAGTTGATGGGAATTGGGTTGCTTCCAAGTTTTAGCTATTACAAATTGTGCTGCTATGAACATGGGTGCACATATATCACTGTGGTATGATTCTTTTAATTCTTTGGGGAAGCTACCCAGCAGGGGAATAGCTGGGTCAAATGGGACTTCCAGTCCTAGTTCTTTGAGGGATCTCCATACTGATTTCCACAGTGCTTGCACCAGTCTACACTCCCACCAGCAGTGGAGCAGGGTTCCTCTTTCCCCACAGCCCCGCCAGTGCTTGTTATTGGTTGATTTCATGATAGCAGCCATTCTTTCTGGAGTGAGGTGGAATCTCAGTGTTGATTTCACTGGCATCTCTCAAATGACCAGTGATGTTGAACATTTTTTCATATTATTTGCTATTTCTACTTCTTTGTCTGAGAAATGTCCATTCATTTCAGATGCCCATTTTTGGATTGGGTCTTTAAATTTGGGAGGTCTGATTTTTTTTAAACTTCTTTATAGATTCTAGATAGTAGACCTCTGTCTGAGGAAGAGCAGGTGAAGATTTTTGCCCACATTGTGGGTTGTCTCTTCACACTGTTGGTGGTTTCTCTTGCTGTACAGAAGCTTTTTAATAAGAAAAGATCCCACTTGTTGATTGTTTCTTCTAGTTCATGGGCAACTGAGATTTTGTTCATAGAATCTTTTCCTACACCAATGTCTTCAAGAGTTCTACCTAACCTCTGTTCCAGCCGGTCCAGTGTTTCTGTTTTAATACTTATATCTTTAATCCATTTTGATGTTAGTTTACTGCATGGTGAGAGATATAGGTCTAGTTTTAATCTTTGGCAAGTTGAAAC